CTCCCTCTCTCTCTCGGCGACTCACGTCTTTAGTGTGCGCACTGATGTAGTTCGCCGTCTCCGAGTCGTCGGCGCATTTTGTCAGCCACTTCCGTATCGTGGCGCAGTCTGTGGGGGCGTGGTACATCTGGCGGCACTTGAAGCTGAGGCGCAGGGGAGCGGGGAGGAAAAACGAGCCGGACAGGCAGAGCGGAGGGAAAGAAAAGAGGGGTTACAGGACGAAGGACAGGAGGAGCCGGAGAGAGAGTGAGGGGGAGGTAGGATAAGGGTGTAACGAGGCCAACAAACGAGAGGAGGCCAGTTGTCCCACGTGGTTTGATTGGTAGTAGTTAACCGACGCCAGGACCCACTCCAGCGGTTTCTTGAAAAAAGCCAGCGTATCGGCTTCACCAACACGGCTAGGCAGCTGGTTCCCCCCCACCACCACCCTTTGTGTAAAGAAGTGCCTCCTGCCGTCGGTTCGAAAAAGCAGTTGCACATAGCTCCCACCAGTGCTCTCGGGCTCCTGCTTCTCTGTTGGTTCTGAAGAGCCCCCGCTGTGAGAGAAAGGTGCCGAGGAGGAGGAGAGGGGGGGAGAGCGCTGTGGGTGTGTGTGTGTGTGTGTGTGCGTGTACGCGTGCGCACGTGGTGCTCGGCATTACCAGAAGACCTCGCTGCAGCGGCTGCACTGGACCCGGCGGGCCAGCGGCTCCTGGACCTGGATCACGATGGGGCAGTCCGCCCCCGGACACAGCTGCAGCTGGAAATGACTCTGAGAGGCAGAGAGGAGGGGCGTCAGTCAGGATCCGGTGGGACACGCGTGCGCACACGCTGCGTTGCACCTGCTCCTGCCACGGCAACCGGCGGCCGTGACTACCCGCTTTGAGAGAGGATCCATTCCACCTGTTACCCCCCCCCACACACACACCTGTGACCTGGGGAGCCAGGTACCGAACATCTGCCTCTGCATGACGACCTTCCCTTTGACGCCACCCCCAAGCTCCCCTTTGTGCTCTGCTTCAGTGTTGACGAACTTGCCCGCCCGTTTCCGATCGCGTTTCGGGCTGCGTTTCCGATCGCTTGCTCGCTCGCCCGCCCGCATTTGGGTTCTTCTCGGTGCCCTGGGACGCTGCCGAACTCGGGTACGAGCCGCGTGTCATTACACAGCCTGTACCAGAAATCTCAAAGGCACGCACAGTGCCACGGTGCAGACAGGGCCATCTCAGAACCACGTGCACAGGGGAGGGAAGGGGGACTCCCGAGGGAAAGACAGAGACCCAGACAAAGGGTCTGGGGAGGAGGATCAGAGAGGGGGAACGAGGCGAGAGGACAGGCCTGGAGAAAGACGACGCGAGGAAAGAGCACAGAGGAAGAGTGAGGCACTGGTCACAGAGACACAGACAGGAGGGGCAGTCTGCTCCAGGTTAGACGGGAGACGGGCAGATCGCGAGGGACGGACCTCGACGTAGTCTCTGAAGAGGTAGCGTCTGTATTTGTCCTTCAGCTCCTCGCTCGGCAGCAGAGGGAACACGAAGTCCTCGGGCATCCGCAGGGCACAGTCCTGGGCCATACACGAGATACCTGGGGGCAGACAGACAGACAGACGCTGACCGAGTCCGGGGCCGCACGTGACATTCCTGACCGACAGACGGACCAGCTCAACTCCCTCAAAGCCAGCACCATCCAGAGCAGACATATCTACCCCCCTGATCCTGGAAGGCTGCAGTCCACCGGGAGTAGGATACAGGTATCCGAAAATCCCCAATGAGCACAGCACAGGGAGCACCGGTAACCCGGACACATTGAGTGAACAAGAGATCCAAATCAAAGCTGCTCAGAGTCCTTGAATGAGAAACAGCAGACACAGGGGCCCTCCTGGACCAGGAGTGAACGACAGAGATGACCAAACTTGGTCCCTGAGAACACCAGTGCCTGCTGGTTTCCATTCCTGCCAGGCCCTGAAATCACCAGGGCTCACCAATGCCTTGAAGTGGCCTACTGACTTGCCGAAACTCGAGGTTAATTTGCTTTGGCGCTCAGTCCTGAATTCAAACACACGGTTTCCAACAGAATGAGCAAAAAGGTGAGGTAAGGTGAAGGGCTGCTGCCCTCTCTGCTGATCCGTCTTCTCTCCCGCCCCCCCCCCCCGAGCACTCACCCACGCCCACGCCATCCTTCACGAGCACGGTGCAGTGCTGCTCCCAGCATGCCTTGCAGAAGGCGTGCTGACAGGGCAGGGCGAGCAGGGAGTCCTGGCGGACGAGCTGCAGACACACGCCGCACTGCGGGGACTGGGGAGGGAGCTGGGGAGGCAGGGGGAGAAAGTGACGTAAGAACAGGCACCCAGCTTATCCCCGGCCACCTGGCGGGTCCAAAGAACCGCCTCTAGGGAAACCGCACACCTATGAGTCATGAAATGAGACGTGCGTACAAACACCGCAAGGGACAGTGACAGCAGAGACTGAGCAGTCTGTCAAGTCATCGTGAACGGTGGCCACGCTGAGGCAACGCTGTGCCTTCTGTATGCCGACACATTTCCTTAGGAATCTGTCTCCCAAGGTCCCGTGTGTATTTGCACCTTATTACAGGGCTCAGCATTTCACCACGTTTGCGCAAAGAGGGTAATTAACCGGGGAAGCGCCTATAAACACGTTCATGTGCTCGTTAACGCAGGAGAGGCATACTCACAGATTTACAGGCTCCGGGCTGAACTCGAGCCTCACACAGCAGCTGGGACGAATTGGACTTGAACCTGAAACCCAAGACCAGCGGACAGGTCAGGCAAAACGGTGAGAGGAGGACTTATCGATGAATATTCTGCAGGCGTCTGACAAGGTGAGCAGCTATGTGGGCTTATCAGCAAGATGTGGCCGTCAGTGTAGGAGTGTGAACGAGACCGGCGCTCTCTGTGCGAGGCCTGTCGGTGGGAGATGACACAGTCCAGCTGAGGTCTTACCTGTCCAGTATTTCGGAAACCTGCCAGTGGAAATGAACAAGCACCAGTTTTGCAACAGCAGGCAGAACCTAGAAGGTTGGAAGGATGAAGAGGGAGAAACTTTTTACTATTCAGCTGTAACTCCAGCTTTACTTACGCCACTTCTCCGAAGACTCAGGTCCAACCTTTCCTCTCTTAAATACACACGCAGATCAGCCACTGAGCCGGCCAGTAACAGGCCCTGTGCTACTGTAAGCTGACAGGCGGAGAGTCGGACAACAGAAGTCCACTTCTGTCTCAGAGGGAGTGTGTTGAATGCCCTTCTATGCTTTTTGAGTTTCAGGAATTTAAAATAGTTAAGTCGGGGGTCGGGGCCAAAACACACAGACCGACCCAGACAAGTCTGTCCCATTCGCATGATTCCTGCGACACTGTGTGAACCAGACTCAAACAGCTGCTGTCTTCCTCGCCACCCCCACTGCCCTTCACCCTGGCCCAGACCTGCAGAGACTCCAGACTGTCAATATAGTTCAGCAAGGCCCCCAGCCTCTGCTTGGATTAACAGCTGCTGTTGCTACGCCCCACCCTTCCCTCCCTCACCCTCCCTTCAGCTCTCTAACCTTCAGTGCTATAGCCACAGTGTTGACCTCCTCAGCTAGCACTCGCTGGCTCTCCCTGTAGGTCAGACAAGTGAACTGGTATTCTTCTGGATCGAACGAATCGGCGCCCTGCTGCTCCACGTCGCTGGCCACTCCTTCGTAATAATCTGCGATGTCGCCCGTCTCCTCCTCCTCCTCGCCCCCTTCCTCCTCCTCCTCCTCTTCCTCGGAGTTGGCACCGAAGTCTTCCTCGTTGCTGTCGGAGGCCTGGCTGTTCATGTCCACGGACATCACTCGCTCACACACACACGGCGCACAAGACAAAACTACAAACCACACCCCCGGGGCACAGGGACTACAATTCCCAGCGGCCTCGGCGACTCAACAGCAGCAGCAGCGGAAGAAGCAGAAGAAGTCCCACCCCCCGTCACTCATTGGGTTCTCTTTTCCTGATCTGGTTTGCCAAGGAATTAGAGACCTGGGATAGAAGGAGGGAAGCAAGGGGGGGGGGGAGAGACAGAAGGACAAAGGAAGAGAGAGAGAGATAGTGGAGAAGGAGAGAGAGAAGAACACATTCATCCAGTTCTCAGTGATGATAACAGCCAACTTCAAATACTTCAAACATCAATACAAGTGTTACCGGGATGCTGATGTCTCACAAAAACACGAAATGTACTCGTTGTCCTTTATTTGACCAGATGAGCCAAGTGAGGACACGTTTTTTTAAGGACATCGGGGACTCGGAGTGCTCTCGTGTCCACAGCCTGGCGCTGACCGGCGCAGCCCTGTCCTTACACCAGGACACTGCCCAGCGCCCGGGACAACGACGCCTGCGTCCACTCCGACCAGGCCTCCAGCCCACCACCCACCCCTTCACCCGGACCCACAGCTGGGCACGAACCGAAAGCGGCCCGGAGCGGCACGGGATTCTCCAATCAGGGCGGATATAAAACCGCACAGCAGCTGTCATGGACCCCCCCCCCATTGGACACGCAGATCAGCCCAGGCCAATCCCCCTCCGCGACCCCCCCTCACAGCTGCCACATTTCACACGTGAAAGCCGGCGAGACCTCGGAGCCAACGAGGGAGAATCGCCGTGAGCAACTCGGCCGCGTGAGGGTCCCCATCGGGCTGTATCGCTCTCTCTTTCCCCGCCACGTGAGGCCGTGCTTGGGTATCCGCCCACGCCCTCTGACAGGACGTCAGCCCACCACAGAGCCACAGAGCCACAGAGCCGCCTGGCCAGGACTGCGCGGATGAGTCACGAGACAGAGGCCAACCAGATCGTCTGACCCCGGACTCCTCGGAAGGAGGAAGTGGGACGTGTTACTGGAACTGTGGTGGCCCCAAGTAGGTTACAACGCACCGCTGTCATCATCATTGCTAACTCGGCTGTCTGCCTGTGCCTCTCGGAGCGATTTCCCTTTTAACCCAACCACGCCAAACCCAAAGAAAGGGACCAGGAGGACAGCAACCCCCAGTGTTTTGGTCAACTCAGTAAGGAAAAGAGCACCCTACTGAAGTGTGCCACAAGCTTCCTGACAGGAAACTGTGATCAGACGCTTGTCTCGAACGGGTGGGTCTAGACTGTCCGTTCTGTGCCACTAGACAATGAACACAAGACCCCCTCCAACCTCCAGCGGTACCCGACTCTCTCGCCGTCTCCTTAACGCGGCCGTGCCGGCGCTCCCCGGCACGTATTACGGACGAGACATCGCTCGTCTCTCGCTCTGGGCCGGGCGTGTGAGTTCAGCAACGCGGGCGCCGGCTGGGGTGGGTATCCAGGCCGCCAGCATCCCCGCGTCCGGGCTGGGACCCAGCGGTCAGCGGGGAACACTGTGTCCTGAGCGCGCCTCACATTCCGGCCGCGGCTATTAATAGAGCCGCCGACCGGCCAACACGCACGACTCCCCAGGTCCGGCGCGCCAGGGCTCAGCGGGCGGGGAGGCAGCAACAGGAGGCAGGGGCCGGAGCCAGGCTTTGTTTACATCGCGCTTTCGAACTCGCTGCGCTCTCAAACACGAGAAAGTAAAAACAAAGAGAGGACCCTCACCCCACAAGCCCACCTCTCCCCTTCCTCCCGTCCACCCAGAACCAGTCCCCGGCCCCTCTAAGGTACGGTCCCTGCTCCCTGTCCCCCCACCGCTGACCTGCACCTTCGCTCCGTTCCCGCAGCGGACAACGAGGCCGCCGCCGCGTCTGACCCGAGCTCGGGGATCGACATGTAAACAAGGCCGCACGGGGATTATCCTCGCCCTCCCCAGCTGCCCCCTTTCGCCACAAGGGTCTCCCGCTCCGGTCCGCCGCCACTACTCCACTCACCACTGGGGCCGCTGTCAACCCGTTTCGTTCTGCGGACTTTCGGCCCAGATCCGGCGACTTGCGCTCGACTCGGTTCCGCTACCCGACCTGCAGCAAAAGGGAACACAGGAAACACAAGGGGAACTCGTCGCTGCGTCACATCCGGCTGCAGGGAAAGGGGGGAGGGGTTTCTGGGATAAAGGGGGAGGGGATTATCGCGGTGTGGGTGGGGTCTGTTTGTGTGTTGTTGACGGCGCCTGATGAACAGCTCTTGCCTACTGCGGGTTACTTCTTTAAAGCCCAGAAAGAAAAATAAACTTTTTTTTTTTAGTTTTTCAGCTGCTGGAGCTGAAGACAGGTTTAAGGCCACATTAAGTTTAGGTGTGGGTGAGAAGCTACAGCTTGCCCACAATGGGAGGCTGGCTTTTGGATTGACGGCAGCGTTAAGGGGCACTGTATAGGCTGGGAGTTAAAGTCGGGGGTCAGTGTCAGTATCAGGGGCTCCAGGCATCAGAAAGGTGTCAGGCAAGAGGAGCCACCCAGCCCACGTAGTTCATCTGGCTGCTGGGAGATAACTCCTGTGAGCAATCTCCTCGAGCTGTTTCTTTAAAGACGCCAGGGTATCGGCCTCAATGGCAGAATGGCGTGTGCCAGACTCCCACCACCCTTTGTGTAAAGAAGTGTCCCCTGTTCTCGGACGAATCCATGCAAGCTCCACACCCTGCACTCAGAACCCTGGAGCTGTTGCGAAGTTGTGCTACCCTGCCTGCCCACACCCCGTGTCACCAGTGGAGTTTTTAAATCCCACAGTTCACCTTTGAAAGTTCTGCTTTTGCGCTCCCTTGCGTTGCTCTGCTTGTTGCCCGGTGTTTACCTCCTGTGTGGACCGCTCCAGGCGGCGCTCCTCTGCGCCACATGGATTTCGACCTCTCGGTCATCTGTCAGCGCCTGAGCCGTCCTCGAAGAGGAGGCCCTCAAAGTCATCGTGTCAACACGAGGGTGCTGGGGCTGGAGCTCAGGCTCAGGAGGGCAGGCCCCGGCCCGGAGAGGTGACTGTCCGGCTCCTCTGCTGGCCCGCTGAGGCAGGACACCCCTGGGAGAGGGGAGTGAGAGGGCGACTCTGTGTCCGCATGGCGCTTCTTG